CGCCCCCCCCCGGTCCTCCGGGCCCATGAGGCGGCGGTTCCGCGTTTTCCGTCTTCTGACGCTTCGGGGCTCGGCCTCCGTCGCCCCCCCCCCCCGTAGTACCCCCCCGAGCCCCCCCCCCCGCCCCCGCCCGCCGCCATTTTGCCCATCTCGCCCCCTCGGCCGCTGCCCTCCGCGCTCTGCGGGCCCCGCCACCGCCGCCGCGACATGGCGCCCCGCTCCGCCGCACCGCCTCCGCCACGCCCCCATTGGGCGGGCCCCACGCCACTCAGGCGGAGCGCTCGTTCTATTGGATGGCCGAGATGCCGCTCAGCCGGAAGCCCCGCCCTCCAAAGCGATTGGCCTTGCGGGCCCGCCAGCCCGTCTCTCGTTCGTCCGCTCTTCTGCCTGTCAGAAAGGACAACGCACCCCATTGGCCACCGAGTCCTTTCGTTCTCCCGCCCACCGAGGTGATTGGCTAGATCAGCCATTCGTCTGCGTTTGGCCCCGCCCACCGTCTTGGCCCGCACGGAGCTTCCGCCTTCTTCTTCAGATCGGATCCGACTCTCCGCAGCTCCCAGAAGGCGTTTCGGCAGCCTCTCGACACTCTATTGGCCAAAGGGCACACCACTCAAAAAAACCGTTGCCTCTGATTGGCTCCATCCCCGCATGTCACCACCCCAAGCGTTCGCAAATCTCATTTGCCAATCCTCCTGCCTGTTAACTTTGTCCCCGCGCTGGGATTGGCCAGATTGGGATTTTCCCTCCCCCTTCTCCCCCAAATAAGTTAAGGACCCTTCAGAGCCCCCTCAAGAAGGGGTTGGGTCCCCCAGGGGTCCTCCAGAGTCCAGGCTGGGGGTCTAACGCCCCCACCAAGAGTCCCTGCACCCCAGGACCCCCCACCCCAAACAGACACAGAAACAGAAATAGGGGACCCCTCCCCCCTCATTACAACGCATTGAGAACCCTTCAGACCCCCCCCCAAAAGGGGGTTGGGTCCCTCCAGAGCCCAGACTGGGGGTTCAATTCCCCCGTTCCACTGAGCATCCCTGCATCCCAGGACCCCCCACCCCAAACACCCCACAGGGGCACAAAAACGGCAATAGGGACCCCCACCCCAAAAAATACACAAAGCCGGGCTACGTCTGCGCTGCTGTTTAATGTCCCCATCCTCCTCTCTACGGCTCTTTGCCATCTGCCTGGCGTTTGCTGGGAGCTCCACTGCTCTCAGTGCGGCCCCCTGAGCCATCGGCGCGGCCCCTCCGGGATTTGGGGTCACCCCCCGAGGTGCTGCTCGTGTCCCCCTGGGCTGCCATGGCATCAATGGCGGCGTGCTCCTTTCTCACCAGCTCCTGCAGCTCCTTCTGTGGGGTGGGAAAGAAGGGGTGGGAGGTGAACCCCCATGGGATGGAAGGGGGGGGGAAATCCCAAACGTGTTGCTGTATTTTGGGGGTCTCACCTTCCAGCCCAGCAGCTCTGCCAGTGCCAGGCAGCCCTCATCACAGTCCCCCAGCCAGGCCACATCCCTGGGAGGGGGGGGACAGAAGAATATGGGGGCACAGAGATGGGGGGGGACACAAAACGTGTGGGGAAAGGGGGCATACGAGGGGGGGGCAGCCCCTCAGTGACCCCCTAAAACACAAGGAAAGGCCACGGCCCTCAGTTCCCCACACGCACCCCCACCCCAGCTGCTGTGCATGCGGACCCTACGCCCCCACCCCTCATCCCCGGATCCTCCTGTGCCCCCAATGTGCCCCCAGTGTCCCCCCAGGCCCCCCTGCCCCCAGTCCCTGCCTGTAGGCTTTGTCTGAGTCGAAGTCCATCCCGCAGCCGAAGCCCATGAGGGACATGAAGGCATCACTCTGGGGACAATGAGGAGCTGATGAGACCGGTGGGGAGGGTGGCAATTGCCCCCTCTCGCCATTCAGCAACCCTATACAACCCCCCTTACCCCCCATCTCCCCTCACCTGCCCCGTTTTCTCCTTGTTGATGAGAAGCCGGGGGGTGCTGGCAGGGACCCTGAAACACAAAATGGGGACAATGAGAGAACTGAGGAGCTGAGACGTCGCAGGAAGGATGAGATGCACTGAGGGAAGGGGGGAGCGTGGCGCATTTCGGGGTGGGGGCTGTGACCTGCTAACAAGGGAGGCGAAGGGCTGGACCTGAAGCGAAGTGCCCATGATGATGAGAAGATCGACTTTCTGGAAGTCCTGTGGGGACAGAAGGGGTGGCAAAGAGACAACTGTGGCCCCCCAGCCCCATCTCCATCGTGCCCCCCACCTTTCCCAAGCGCTCACCGACTGTAGAAGACTGAAGAAGCGAGATGGGAGGTTCTCCCCAAAAAATACAATGTCTGGAAAGAACAAGGGGGGAGGGGGGCTGGATGCACTGACCCCCATCCCTTATCACCCCTAATTCGGGAGGGGCACAGAACCACCTCCTCGCCTCACCTGGCTTCACCACGCTCTGGCACTTGTCACACTTGGGGACGAGGGAGGAGAAGATTTTCTCTGTAACAGACCAGGGCACCACAGCTCAGCAGGGGGGTGGGAGGTGCACACGAGACCCTCCCCCATCCCTCCCCTCCCCAAATCCCCCCCCCCCCTTCCCGCCGTTACCTTTCACCCAACTCAGGTCATACTGATGCCGGCAGGAGGAACGCAGGCAGTGTGCAGTTTGGAAGGTGCCGTGAGCCTCCACCAAGTCCTCAGGTTGCAGCCCTGCCACGCGCTCCAGCGTGTCGATGTTCTGTAGGAGAGGAAAAGTCATAGGGACAGCATTTAAGGGTGTTCTCAGCTCCGGGAAGGGGGCACAGCAAAGGGGGGCACACCTGTGTGTAGCAGCGCAGCAGCAGCCCCTTCTCCTTCAGCAGCCGCATGAAGTAGTGGCAAACTGTGGGCTATGGGAGAGAAAGGAACCACGGGGAGGGGGGGTATATGGTGTCCCCCCCCCCCCAAGAATCACCTCTTACCTTCAGCTGTCCTGGGAGCAGCTCCTTAGCCAATGCAAAGAAAGGCTCCGGGTGTTGCTGGAGGAAAAGTAGGGGGGAAAGGGGGGCGATCAGAGTCTGGTGGGGGGTTCAGGGCCCGGTGCTGTGCTGAGGGGGGGCCTCAGAGGGCGCTCAGCCTCACGTTCCCCCCAAACCTTGAAATAGGAGATGTCAAAGATGGCCTCAGGGTAGGGCAGTTCATAGCGGCTCAGGTTGGCGTACAGCCCGGTTCCGGGTGAGCGGAAGTCGGGGATCCCGGCGGCTGCCAAGGGGGGGGAGGGGGGGTGTTACCATAAACGCTGCCACTCCTCCGCCTTCCCCTCCCCCCCCCGGTTCTGCTCACCCGTGGAGATCCCGGCGCCCACCATGCACACCACGCGACGGCAGCGCTCGCTCTGCATAAACCGGGCGATTCCCGTCAGCGACAGCTCATCCAAAACGCGTTCCGGCGGCTCCGTGCCCAACCCCAGCGTCCGTGCCAGGAGGTTTCGCAGCAGCTCCACTGCGGGCGGTACCGGGAGGAGTCACAACGGGGTCCCGCAGGCCCGGCCGGGCTCCGCACCCCACACTCACTATCGGGATCCTCCGTGGAGCCGCCCTCAGCTTCAGCGTCGGGTTCAGCCCCGGGAGGGGGAGCTGCGGAGGTGGGACGGGGCGTCACGGAGGGCCGGAGGGACCCTCCAGCCTCAGCACCGCCACTGCCACCGCCACTGCCACCGCCATTACCGTCCGCTCCGGACATGGGAGCGCCTGGAGACGCTTCCCGGCATGCCGTGGGGCGTCTACAATGTTTGGCTGAAGATTCCAAACTTCCGGGTATGCCCGGCATGGATGGTGCTGATTGGCTGAAGGCGCCACGCTTCCCGGGATGCCCCGCGCGGATGGCGCTGGCTGGCTAAGACAGCTGCACTTCCAGCGATGCATAGCGCTGGTTTCTCTGATTAGCTGAAGACGCCACGCTTCCCGAGATGCATTGCGCAGGCGGCTCTAACCAGCTGGAAGCGCCACACTTCCCGGTATGCCACGCGTGAGCTCTGCTGATTGGCTGAGACCGCCGCACTTCTCAGCATGCTCTTCGCTACAGCCATCGATCTCCGCACTTCCCAGCATGCCTCGCGCGGGCAGCGCTGATTAGCTGAAGGAACTCACCACTCCCATCGTGCCTCGCTCTCTCCCGGAAGTGCTCTCTGGACTACGCGTCCCGGCGGGCCTTGCGCTGCTTCCCCGCCCCCCCCCCCCCCCCCCCTCCCGGGCCGCGGGGATTTCCCGGCCCGGCGGCGCTGGGCCCGTGGTGGCGGGGCCCTGAGCGCGGCCCGGCTGATGGCGGCCGCGGGGGCCGCGCCGTCCGGCGATGCGAAGCGAACGGAGGGAGACGAGTGGTACGACAGCGGGCTGGGCTCGTTGGGAGAAGGGCAGTTGGCACCGCTGTCCCACAGCCCCGGTCCGGGTCCGGAGTCTCCCGAAGAGGCTCCTCCGGAGGCCCCGGAGCCCGAGGCTGAGGTGTGGCTGCGGCACGTGCTGAGCTTCGTCAGTGAGGACGGCGATACGTGAGTGAAGGAGCAGCGGGGGGGAGGGGGAGGGGGGGGGGGGGGGGGGGGGGGGCGGGGGGCGGGGGGGCGGTGATCGGGGCCGCTGAGCTGAAGCCGAACCCCCCCCCTCCCCAAACCCCCACCGCAGAGCGCTGCACCTCGCGGTCATCCACGAGCACGAGGCTTTCCTGGATTCCATCCTGCAGCGCGCAGCAGGCACTGCTTACATGGATCTGCAGAACGACCTCGGGCAGGTGAAAGCAGCCGGGGGGGCCTGGAGCTGTTAGAGAGAGACCGGGGCGACCCCTGGGCTGTGGGGCAATTGTCTGGGCTGGGGCTGATCCCTGGGCTGGGTGCAGCAGATGGGGGGGGGGGGGTTGGGGGGGATGAACCCCTTGTCTGGAGGCAGGCAAAGGAATCGCAGAAGCACCAAGGTTGGAGAAGACCTACAGGATCACCCAGTGCCACCGTCCGCCATCACCAACAGCTCTCACTAAACCGTGTCCCTCAACACAAAATCCCAATGCCAACCCCCAGCCCAGGCAATTCCTGAACTGAGGGAGACCGCCGGGGTCAGGCGGTGATCCGTGGGGCCTTTCCCAACCTTGACTGATTTCCTCTCTCTCTTGCAGACCGCCCTGCACCTGGCTGTCATCTTGGGGCTGCCCGGCTTCGTGCGCAAGCTGCGGGCGGCGGGCGCGGGGCTGGGACTGCAGGAACGTGGGGGTCACACAGCCCTGCACCTCGCATGCCGGGAAGGGCAGCCCCACTGCGCCCAGCACCTCCTGGGGGGTCTCGGCTGCCCCCTGAGCGAGGAGGAGCGTGCGCAGCTGGAGAGCGTCAACTATGATGGTAAGGTGGGGGAGTCCAAAGCGAGCCGTGTGGGACCGAGGCATTTGGGAGCACGTGGAGAACGATGGGAGGAGGAGAACAGCGGGGTTTCTTCGTGGGGATGTTGGAGGGATGTTAAGCGTGCAGTAGGGGAGCGTAGCTTGGAACACGGGGGGATGCTTAGAGATGATTGAAGGGCCAGGGCTGAAGTGCTCTGGGGACGTTGGGGATGCAGTATGAGGGCGCACAGGGCACTGAGGATGCGACAGGGAGGTGGTGTCAGCCTTTGGGGCTGCGACACGGGGACGCTGAGGTGCCTTGCAGCGAAACAGAGGCAACGCAGGACATGCTGGGGCTGCAGTGCAGCGTTCAAGCAGGGCTGCGGGGTTGGGACGCGGTGGTGGCACTGCGATGTCCCCCTCTGCAGGTTACACCCCCTTGCACGTTGCCATTCTTCGGAAGGACGTGGAATTGGTGCAGCTGCTGCTGCGTGCCGGCGCCGACTCCAACAAAGCAGTGAGCACAGAAAGGGGGGGGGGGGGACAGGGGGATCTAAAAGGACGCTGGCGTTCCTGTGCTCCCCACCCTGATTTCCTACCCTTCCCTGCACCCCCAAAGGAGCCGAGCTGTGGCCGCAGCCCCCTGCACCTGGCGGTGGAAGCACAGAGCCTGGAGATGGCAGAGCTGCTGCTGCGGGCGGGCGCTGACCCGGCGGCACGGGGCTACGGGGGTCGCACCCCCCTTTACAGTGCCCGACTTCGCCCTGATCCCCGCCTGCCCCAACTGCTGCGTGCTTTCGGTGCCCCTGACAGCTCCGGCGATTCTGAGGACAGTGAGGAGGACGAAGACAGCGAGGAGGAGGACAGCAGTGGTGTAAGTAGCCCCCAAAGCCCCACCTGAAAACCGAGCGGCCTCTCGGGGTCTGAGCGCTGCTTTTATCCCCCCTCCTTCCTTCCATCCCCCCCCAGGAGGAATACGACGACATCGTCATCAACAGCGGTCGCTGTGCGGACTGAGGGGACGCCCCTGGAGCTGCAGCCACCCCCCCTTATTTATCGGGGTCCCCCGAAGGCATGGGCTGGACTTTGGGAGGCTCCCTGCGCTCCCTTTCTTCTTCTTTTCCCTGGGTATAGCGTAGAGGATTTATATAAGTTGTTTTAAAATAAAAAGGGGGGGCAGTTCCCCCCCCCCCCCCCCC